CTTAAACTTTCTTATCCGTTTTATGCACCTTTGTATCCAATACAACAACATTTTCTTTTGCAACTCGATTAAAATTTTTTGGAGTGAAATTTGGCACACAATCCTCCCGCCTCTCAATAATTTTCTCAAATGAACACTCTGTTCGCAACCGCCTCTGGTTCGCATTCCTTGCAGGAGTATCTTGCAACAACTCAAAAGTAGGATGAGTAAGAGGTATGACATTCTCATCACTGTCTGATGTAGAATCAGAGTAGGTATCCCTAATAGCCTTTACAGCTGAGACATTCATTTTCGAACAACTACCCCAATTGTTCTTCGATTCTGTCTTCAATTCTTGTTTTAACTTTGCCATTGTTGCAGATTTTATGGAAAAACAGTTGGAAAGCCTAATAGAAATAATACAAAATAGATATATAACTCAAATATATATACATACCATTTCTACGGATTGTGGATGTTATTTGGAGGGATTGATTGAGCAAATGGATGAAATCATGGACGAAATCTCCGTGAAATATTCTTCAAAATTAAGCGAAATCTCAAACAATTGAGCGAATGGATAAGAAGAGTGGAGCGAAATCTTTGTGAATCTTTGGAATAATTGAGCAAAATCTCCGTGATTTTTCTGAACAACTGGGCGAATTCCGAACATTCATATTATGGTACCATGGAAAAATTCCAAATTTCACGGCAAAAGGCAGAAAGTCTCCGTGATTTACTATTGTGGATAGATTGAGAGAAATATTCATGCCTAATTTAGTGTATATTTTGATAGATTGAGTGAAGATGCTAGAAGGAGATACTATGAAGAGAGAGTGCATCTGATTTCTTTTACGATGAGAGGGAATGTGAAATTGCACAGATCCCATGATTTGTGCCTTTTGCTATGGTAATTAATTATTTGGTTATTTTTATGATATGCTCTAAATGTAAAAAAATATTCCCTTTATGCAATAAATAAAGATTGCTAACATTTTCTTAAATTATTTTTAAAAAGTGACCTGCCATGTATATTTCTCAAACTCGAAAGCTACTGCAGGTACATAATACGCAACAATAGCACTAATAATGCCACAATTCAGACCCAGCACATCTCCACTAAAACAGCACCCGTAATAAATTGTGCTTCTTTTTTTTTGGTAAATAAAGAATTTTATCACCAATTGGTCGTTATGTACATACGGAAAAAAAAAAAAAAAAAGCAGACTGTTGAACATATTGTTCCGACAGCTGGAGCTGAGCAAACATCTATTTACCTGCTACTACAAACTTCTACTACTACCCTAGTGCTAAGGATAAACGTTCAGCATTTCCAATTTCCGAGCTAGCCTGGCTTCATTGATCCCCTGCAACATACTTCTTGAATGATTTGCTTTATAATAAGACCTGGTGCTGAATATTTATGTTGAAACACCCTTTGATTTCTTTCCCTCCATAGTATATACTTGCTGCAAGTGCCGTCCTATAAACTTCTGCTTCAGAGCTTCTCCCCTTTGCATGATCTTCTGCCCACTTTAATTCCTCTGACCAATCCATGGCCCTGTTAACTCCTTGCCAGAACAAGATTTTATTCCAGATATAAACAGCAGTTACATTGAAAAAATTAAGTGTGATCCCACTATTATGTGTATTACAACAATGTCTCAATCCTAAGCAAGTTGAAATCGACTATATGAATTCTTGTTGTCTACTAAGTGTGTATTAATGAGAAAAGAATATGCCCATGCAGGTAACTCACGCCAAATGCATGACCGAATATAAGCTAATCCTGATTTTAGACTCGTTAAAAGAGTACCAATGCAACCCGCCTAAACTCAAGTAGGATAGTTTAGGTCATGACCCATTGCTCAACTAAATTGACTCTACCCATCTTGACTCAACCAAATTCTGAGTAGATTGAATCTGATTTAACCATTTTACCCTGCCTAGATCTCATCCAACGAATCTATTTGACACCCTAGGGTATAAATTTTAACCCATAACGGTAACCAACAACTATGTAAGTTTGACAAGCTAGGATCATGACCTATTCAAGACCCACCCCACCATCTTGACTCAAACAAATCTTTTATCATTGTTAATTAGCTGAACCCACTTTAACCTATTCACAGAGGCGGATTAAGAATTTTAAATTATGGGTTTGACCTTACGAATCTAGAACTTAACCCGGTGCACCTTTAGATAATGGATTTAGAATTTAATATTTGTTTCAATTTTAGAAGTTCTTCACATATAGCTATATTACGTGTCAAAAATACTGGGTTTGGTCGCGCTTGTAGTCAGAACACTACATCCGCCTCTGACTGTGCAAACTTAATCCAACCCTCATTTAACACCTATAATATTCGCCAAGTTTAGACCATTGAGTATCATTGAGGCCCTAGAACAAAACCTAAAAACTCACGATAGACGTTTTGAAAAAACAAGCTCTTCTATTATCGATCTCGTCGCCTTTCCTCTCCAGGTGACTTTCATGTGATGATTCTATCTTGACATTTAGGGGATAAAGAGAACTCGGTTTACAGAACACAAACAAAAATTCTTTAGCAAGAGTAACCAGGGCATGGACATACCCCAATTTCACTTCTCTCGGGAAGAATTTGTCCTCGAAAATGAAGAAGCCTCTGATGCCAATGTGCCGGTACTATGTGAAGGTGATATTCCATGAGCAGGGGCCCGCCTATAAGGGGATACAGAATATTTAGATCTTTCTGTCGAATGTGGTTGCCTTGAAATTTCTGGTGATTCTGATTCAGGAGCAGGAGTTCCCGAAGAATGTTGAACCGCAACCCGTTGGCCCTGTGCATTATAACATGTCAATCTCTAGTGCCATATGATGGTGCCAAAATCACATGCACAAGTTCATGAATTCCAATACCTATACTAACAGAGACTAGTAAAAAATGTCACAAGTTGGAATTCTACACATCCAGTTGAGCACTCAGAAGACACTGAGATAAATCAACGCTTGCAGAGAAACTGTTCATTCAGTTCAATAAGATAATAAGCAATTATAAGGACGGGACCTGATGGGTTTGATTGTATTCCTCATCTGTTTGCTGCTCCAGATGATGATACTGCTGCTGCTGCAGGTGACTGTCTTCCTGTAATTGGAAATGTCCCTGTTGTTGCCATTGTTGCTGTTGCTGCATACTCTGATATCCTTGTTGACGTACTTGGTACTGGTGCAAGAGTAGTTGATAACCATGTTGTTGCATCTGGTATGCAAGTTCTTGTGACTGGCGGTATTGCTGTAGCTGCTGCTCCTGTGCCTGCAGATAGTGCTGCTGTGTTTGCTGGGGTTCCTGTGGTTGCATCTGTTGTGCTTGCTGTTGCCATAGCTGCTGTGACTGCGGTAAATACTGTAGCTGGTTCAGGAGAAATTGCTGTTGTGAATAAGGGAAAGAATGAATTTGCTGGAAATACTGTTGCTGTTGCGATATAAGTGTTTGCTGCTGCTGATACAGCTGCTGACTTGGATGTTGATGCATCTGTTGCTGTTGCATACTAGTGTGGGGCTGTTGCTGTTGCATACTAGTGTGGGGCTGTTGCAGTTGCAGCTGATGCTGCTGATACTGTCCGTGCAAAAGATGCTGCTGCTGGTAATGGTGTTGTGACGTTTGACTCAATGCTTCCTGGTGGTGTGAGGGCCCAATTTGCTGGCTACTCTGCCCAGAATGTTGCGGTGTACTTGGTTGAGAATAAGAAACATGTGAGGAAGAGACTTGAGGGTGGTTTTCAGATAGGGAGATGTCCTGTGATGTTTGATCCAATGCTTCGTAATGGGGATTGGGCCCAATTTGCTGGCTATTGTGCACATTATGTTGAGGTGTACTTGGTTGTGAATAAGAAACAGGTGAAGAAGACACTTGGGGATGGTGTCCAGACATGGAGATCTGCTGTGGCATATTATTCAATGGCCAGCATTGTGTACTTGGGATATTCCCCTGAGAGGTACCTGATTGACACTGCATAGTAGCCTTTTCCAGGACCTGTTGGATCTGCGGATCACTCTGAGAATCAAGCAAGTGCGGTTCTTGTGAAGCAGCTCGTTGTAGCTCCTGTTGCTGATCAAATCCTGCAGGCACCTTTGAACTACCACTTTCAGGAACTGCGACTGTATCATTTACCTGCTGTGAACTTTCAGCAGTAACAGGACCTGGATGCATTTCTGCTGATGCGGAAAACAGACATGTTGCTGGAGATGAACAACCAGCTGGTCCATCTCCATCATTTAGAGGATCTTGCGGTCTGCCCGTGCTTGATGAGGGAATTTGTTCACCACTTTCGAGACCATCAGAGTGCATGGAGGCAAAGCCCTGGGTTTCCTTTTCCTCAGACACCAAGGAAAGATTCTCCAAAGAAACCGGTGTCGGTAGTTGTTCAAGTTCAACATCCTGATCTTGACGGACATTTTCTGAACTTAGATGTTCTTGTGAGGCTTCTGAAACAGAAAGGGGCCTTGAGGGCTCTTTAAAGTCCAGAACTGGCCCTGGAGACTTGGATGCATCATCTCCAGACTGAGGAACGGAATCATAAGAGAAGTCCATTGGTCCAGGCAAATCTTCTCTCCTCTGCTGCCGCGGATCATGACTTAGTTCCATCGACATCGATGTATCATCCTTTGATTGATCAACAGGGTTAAAAGATAACTCATTTTTCCCAGAGCCATCTCCACCGGATAGATCTTCCAGTTTGGAAGATAGCTGTCCCTGTTTATCAGTCGTACCTTTGTCATTATCTACAGCTAAAGACGGCTCTGCAGAAAGCTGGTCTGGTTGCTCACCATCTTTAAACGGCAGTAGATGCGCCTCCTCTCCTTTGGAGTGCTGGATCAAATGGCCAGAGCTTGGTCCTTTTGACGGCTGATTAACTAAGACATTGGAAATGTTTCTCCTTTGTGCAGTAAAGCTGTTCACTGAACTCTTCCCAGTACCTGAGTGTTTCGATGAGCCATTGGTCCTTATGAAGTGAGGAAACAATTTGATGTGTCGACTCCATGCCATTCTTATCTCAGAGATAGAACCACAAAGATCAACTAACTGTTGCATCCATAAATGATTATTATCAGGGACAGGTGAAAGTGGATTTTACACATCCAAAACACAAAATAGCAAAACTGAGTAAATATAATTAAAGAAAGGTAACTTTACTTTATAAAAAACCTAGGGCCAGATTCAGTAGGTACAAGACCATGAGGAAATGTAAAGAAAAACGGGTTAGCATATCTCCTAGCAAAGTGAATCCGAAGTTTCAAGCAAACTAAGTTCTTGATTAAAAGTTGTTATTCCTGTATGCAAGTTGTGAGAAAGCACAGGAGAAATTATATTATTGATGTATTAACATATGTTACAATGAGCCCTATATATATACACACATAACATGTCCTACTCCTAATATATATTGGATTAGGGTTATTTATTTACTCCTATTTACATGACTATTCTAACACTCCCCCTCAAGCTGGTGCATATAAATTATATGTACCGAGCTTGTTACATATGTAGTTAATACGAGGACCAGTGAGGGACTTGGTGAAAATCTCTGCAAGCTGATCATTCGACTTCACAAACTTTGTAGCAATATCTCCCGAGAGTATCTTTTCTCTAACAAAGTGACAGTCAATCTCAATGTGTTTAGTTCTCTCATGGAACACTGGATTTGACGCAATATGAAGAGCAGCTTGATTATCACACACAAGTCCCATCTGACTAATCTCACCAAATTTCAACTCCTTGAGCAACTGTTTGATCCAAATTAGCTCACATGTCGCCATAGCCATCGCTCGATATTCTGCTTCTGCACTAGACCGAGCAACCACATTCTGTTTCTTGCTCTTCCAGGACACCAAATTTCCTCCTACCAAGACACAATATCCAGACGTAGAACGTCTATCAGAAGGTGATCCTGCCCAATCAGTATCTGAGTATCCAACGATCTGCTCATGGCCTCGACCCTCAAACAATAAACCTTTGCCTGGAGCTGATTTTATATACCGAAGAATGCGAACAACTGCATCCCAATGACTATCACACGGAGAATCCATAAACTGACTCACAACACTCACAGAAAAGGAAATGTCAGGTCTTGTCACTGTAAGGTAATTTAATTTACCAACCAACCGTCTATATCTTGCAGGATCGCTAAGAGGCTCCCCCTGTCCTGGCATAAGTTTAGAATTCGGATCCATCGGAGTGTCAACCAGTCTACAACCTGTCATTCCTGTCTCTTCAAGAATATCTAAGGCATACTTTCGTTGTGAGATCACAACACCTGAGCTAGACTGAGCGACCTCAATACCCAGAAAATACTTTAGTTTGCCCAGATCCTTAGTCTGAAAGTGTTGCAAGAGATGTTGCTTCAATTTAGTAATACCATCCTGGTCATTGCCGGTAATAACAATGTCGTCAACATAGACCACCAGATAAATACAGAGACTCGAGGCAGAATGCCGATAGAATACAGAGTGATCAGCTTCACTCTGAATCATGCCAAATTCTCGAATAACTGTGCTGAACTTACCAAACCAGGCTCGAGGAGACTGCTTTAGACCATAAAGTGACCGACGCAAGCGACATACAAGGCCACGAGACTCCCCCTGAGCAACAAACCCAGGTGGTTGCTTCATATAAACCTCATCCTCAAGGTCACCGTGTAAAAAAGCATTCTTAATGTCCAGCTGATAGAGGGGCCAATGGCGAACAGCAGCCATGGATAGAAAAAGGCGGACTGATGCTATCTTAGCCACAGGAGAGAAGGTATCACTGTAATCGAGCCCAAATATCTGAGTATATCCTTTGGCAACAAGACGAGCCTTAAGACGATCAACCTTACCATCCGGACCAACCTTGACTGCATACACCCAACGACAACCAACAGTAGATTTACCTGAAGGAAGAGGGACGAGCTCCCAAGTACCACTCGTATGTAAAGCAGACATCTCGTCAATCATAGCTTGTCGCCATCCTGGATGAGACAATGCTTCACCTGTAGACTTAGGGATGGAAACAGAGGACAAAGAAGATAGAAAAGCATAATAGGGTGATGACAAACGATGATAACTCAAACCGACATAATGGGGATTAGGATTAAGGGTGGCCCGTATACCTTTCCGAAGTGCAATCGGTTGATTAAGAGGAGACAAGTCCGCAGTATTAGCAGGGTCAGGTGCAGGACGTGAATCAGCTGGACCTGATGCTGGGCGCGGACGACGATGATATGTCAAAAGTGGTGTTCCTGTGGCAGGGAGTCTAGGAGGAGCCACACTAGACTCCTCAACGGCTGGAATGGATAAGACTTCTATAGCGGAAGGTGAAGGAGGAGCTATAGTAGACTCCTTAAAGGTCGGTATAGGTAAGACCTCAGATATATCAAGGTGGTCAGAATGGTCAGAAGAGGTAAAGAAAGGTTTAGACTCAAAAAATGTGACGTCAGAGGACATAAAGTACCTACGAAGATCAAGTGAGTAACAACGATATCCCTTCTGAACACGAGAATAACCAAGGAAGACACACTTGAGAGCACGAGGAGCTAACTTATCTTTCCCAGGGGCTAGGTTATGAACGAAACAAGTGCTCCCAAAAACACGAGGGGGAACAGAGTATACGGGTGATTGGGGAAACAATACTGCATACGGTATCTGATTCTGGATGGGAGAGGAAGGCATCCGATTAACTAAATAACAAGCTGTGAGAACTGCATCGCCCCAAAAACGCAGCGGAACATGAGATTCAATGAGAAGTGTGCGAGCAGTCTCAATGATGTGCCTATTCTTTCTCTCTGCAACCCCATTTTGCTGAGGGGTATAAGGACAAGAGGTCTGATGAATAATTCCTTGAGAAGTCATAAACTGCTGAAATTGAGAGGATAAATATTCTAAGGCATTATCACTGCGAAAAGTGCGAATGGAAACACCAAATTGATTTCTAATTTCAGCACAAAAATTCTGGAATATAGGAAACAACTCAGAACGATCTTTCATTAAGAAAATCCAAGTACATCTTGAATGATCATCAATAAAACTAACAAAATAACGAAATCCCAAGGTTGAACTGACTCTACTAGGACCCCATATATCAGAGTGAACTAAAGAAAAAATAGACTCTACGTGACTCTCAATACTACGATGATAGGAGGCTCGGGTATGTTTCCCGAGCTGACATGACTCACACTCTAATGTGGATAAACTAGACAAACCAGGCACCATCTTCTGAAGCTTGGATAAGCTTGGATGTCCTAAACGTCTGTGAATTAGGTCCGGAGGATCTGTAACTAGACATGCCTTGGAGGATTTTAGGGAGTTAAGGTAGTAAAGCCCTTCTGATTCAAGTCCTGTTCCAATCGTCTGCCATGTACTGCGGTCCTGCATAATAAAAGAATCATCAATAAAATATATACCACAATGGAGGGCACGAGTCAAACGACTAACAGATGCAAGATTAAAAGGACAGTCAGGGACATAGAGAACGGAATCTAGAGTGACAGAGGGTAGGGGATTCGCTTGTCCAACTCCTTTTGCTTTGGTTTGAGACCCATTGGCTAAAGTAACAGTGGGAAGAGACTGTGAATACGCAATATTTGACAAAAGTGATTTATTACCAGAGATATGATCAGAAGCGGCTGAGTCCACAACCCATTGTCCAGGAGGACTAGACTGGGAAACACAAGCAAAAGAATTACCAGCAACAGAAGTATTAGTCTGAGCAACAGAAGCTACTTGTGGAGATGTCTGCTTACTTGCTCGATACTGAAGGAACTCATTATACTCCCCTTCAGATAAAGAAAATCCCTGGTTACCTGTAGTCTCAGTCTGAGCAACATAAGCATTTTTGGGTGGGCGGCCATGTAAAGAATGTCATACATCACGAGTGTGTCCAAATTTATGACAATAAGAGCACTTGGGTCTAGATCTTCCAAAACGACCTCCTCCTCGTCTATTCTCCATAGTATGAGATGCCCGATTGTCCACTGATTGGGATACGAGGACAGATGAGTCAAGTGTCTGTGATGACACTTGACTCGTCTATTCTCCATAGTATGAGATGCCCGATTGTCCACTGATTGGGATACGAGGACAGATGAGTCAAGTGTCTGTGATGAGCTCACTGGGTGACTAGGTGCTGCAGCAAGGTGAAGTAATCGAGAGAATAATTCATCAACTGTGGGGACGGTTGGACTAGCCAAAATCTGGTCACGTACTGAATCAAGGTCATTAGGGAGTCCAGCGAGTGTAAGAACTAGAAACATCTTCTGTCGTTGCTCTTGTTGTTTTTCAATACTGGCAGAAACTGGCATCAACGTCTCAAATTCTTCCATGACTGCCTGAACTTGTCCCAAGTAAGTAGACATATCTAATTCCTGTTTCTTCAAGCTTGTCATTCGCGATATTACATCATAGAAACGAGATATGTCATTAGTATATAGATTACGAGCCTTTTCCCAAACTAAATAACATGTATAGAATGGACGGAACAAGGGCATCAACTTGGAATCAATAGATCGCCACAGGATACTACATAACTAGCATCGACCTTCTCCCACTGTGTTTTGGCCTTTTCATCACCTTCGCTAGCCTTTTTTTGTTAAATGATCTTGAACTCCTTGACCTTTACACCACAACTCGACAGATGAAGCCCAATCTAAGTAGTTTGAACCTCCCATTAAAGGTTCTGAGGTAATCATAACACCGGAACTGCCAGAACCCGGGTTTCTAGACCCGAAAGCATCGACTCCCAAAGACATGGTTGGATTATCACCAAATAACAAAAAGAATCAACTGAAAATTCTCTGAAACAGATGAAGAAAACACTGTGTTTGCCGGAAAAGTACTGTAGCTGCCGGAAAAATCAGTGTAGTCGCCGGAAAAACTCAAAGTGGTCGGAATCAAACGAAAACAGGATGGGTAGGGTCGGAATTGCTGTGCGACCAGGCTGTCCTGAAGAAGCTCGGCCAAAAAATGGCCGGAAGAGGCCTCACGCGCCGAAGCGTGACGACGGAGACTCGCCGGAAAATATTTTCCGGCGGCGCGTGAGGGCGCGTGGGA